GTGACCACCACCATCATCATCAAGAGCAACATCATCATCACCACCATCACCATCAGCACCATTAGTCATCATTATCATCCTCACCATCATCACCATCATCATCATCATAATCATCGTCATCATCATCATCATCACCATCATCATCATCATCGTCAGCATCGTCAACAACATGGCAAGCGCTTTCGTCATGACCATCGCCGTCACTTCAACCTCAGTGTCGTAAATTTCAGTTAGCATCATCCTCACAAACAGTATCATCGTAAGCACAACTACTATCGACCACAAGCACGCAAATACATACAAGATCATCTGCAGCATCGGCCTCAACATCACCGGACCTGTCAGCGCTTGGCAGGGTTTTTTAAGGAGCCAATCAACACCAATCAACCATACGAGGCCTCCCAAACCCATATGGGACTTTCCGAAAATAAGGGCTACCTTATTTTGGGGTCCTTTTTGTAAGGATCCTACTATTTAGGCTACTATATCAGGGTCCCCCATTTTCGGAAACCCCCAAAAAGGCCCGAAGCCCGATTCCCTTGAGTGATCCCCAGAGACGAGGTGGACCAATGTGGTAGATTCCGAGGACCGAGCTCGTCAACTTAAGCTTGTCTTGGTTTAGGGTTTAGGGTTTAGGGTAGAGTAGCTAGCCTTCAACCCTTGTGGAATTGGGTACTTCGTCTGTATAATGCCAACTGTTGCCCCTTAGGTCCCCTAGGATACTGGACAGGTAAGTTGTTCTGCGTAAAACAGGCGGGGTTTCGAAAGGTCTTAGCTCAGTAACTACGCAACACCCTTAACAACACATCGGACACCCAGTCACAGTCCTGTCCTGAAGCCTCGCAGCCTTTGCATGGATCCGAAATCGAGGATTTAGCTAGCTTCACAAACGACAAGCGGTGTTCACAAGCTCTCACTTTTAGGTGTTTCTTTATGCACAGGCTTCTGGGAGCAAGAGGTTGTGGTTCGGTAGCGGAGGGATGGAAACTCAAAGCCAGATGACATTGCACTCTAGGCCCGAAACCCTGGAACTCTGACGGCTCAACCTTAAAGTTGGTCTAGGGTTGACCTATAGTCTCCATTGCAAGTCCTTTTTTAAGTGACCTTATAGGATCCTCAAGATACAAATGGTACACCGGAAGAAGGGAAGTACACCGGAGACTATCGGTACGGTATGCGGAGCCTTCACCTTCATGAAGCCTGGATCCGATGGACATCGTTCAGCCCTGAGCTCTCGCGGGTTTAGGGGTTAAGTGTTTAGGGCCTAGGGTTTGGGGAGTTTTAGGGCTTAGGGATGCCGGATTATTGAAACAAAGCATTCCGAAGCACAGAGACAGTAGCTAAGTTGCATGTTTAGTCCCTTTTTCAGCTGTGCTCACTTCCTGAGCCAGAAACCGCTACCACAGCCGAAGTCAATCCCGGCAAGTTTTGAAACTCTAAAGCCCCAATAAACCCAAAACCCGAGTTTAGCCAAGGCCTAAGACGGAGCTCCCAGACCCCCCCCCCCCAGTCAAGATGAGGTTGGTGGGCGTAGACGGCATGAACATACAGATCCTATCATGTTTGATATATATATATATGTAGATCCATCTATGTATACACATACATACATATCTAAACATATATATATGTGGGTGTGTGCGTACTTGTTGTGTATATAACTGTACTGACATATATACATATTCATGTACTTATATAAGATGTCATATGGTAATAGAAGCGTAGCTGTGAATGTAGGTGTTTTATACGGCAAGGAATTCGATGGTTGTCTCTAGGGCCCCTACTTGCGAGAGCAGAATGCATTCTCAGGACTGGATGGGCAGCACGGAGAAGAGCTCCAAAGATGTGACCCGGTGGAGATGCGAAGTAGGGGTTCAGGGCCTATGGCGAAGGTTTTAGGGAAAAAAATAGACTTTTTACAGGGTATCTGGGATTGATGAATCTGTTCGGGCTCAGCATGGAACAACATATGAACAATATCGACACCAGAAACCTAGCATCGAAACTGCATGTTCCCGTGGCCCAAAGCAACATGTCGTGGAGAGACTGGAGCCGCTCCTACCCCGATAAGTAAGTGATTTTGTGACCCATTTGCCGTGAATCCCGGACTTTGCGAAACCATAATCCCCCGAATCACCCTGATGCGTATAGTGAATTCCCGAAAGTTGGAACATGGTTTAAGGATGAGTAGTGCTAGGATTCCTTCGACCCTACTTTTCATTAATGTTCCAACTTTCTTATACTACAAAACCCTGAATCCTCGAACCCGTCTCTTTCTAAGAATCCCAGGATGCTCCAAAATCCGGCAGCTGGCAGGCCTTTCTCGACAAAGCAGCTCACCACCGTTAAGAGGCATGGCGTTTAGACCCTGTAGGGTTTAGGGACGACCCTGAGGTGTATATGGGAGTTTCAGAAAATGAGCGACCCTGTTTCTGAATCTGAAGTCAGAGTATCCTTATCCTTGTTGTAAGGACTCTTTAACAAGGTAATCGGGAAATCCTGTATCTGCGCGCACCAATCGCTGTACTCCTGGACACTTCCATGCCGAATTGTTCACAAGTCTTAAGCCGCAAGGTTTTTAATCCGGCCGCTCCCTGCAGTAAGGGTTTCTTCCTTTCCGATGTATCCAACATCCTTCAACTCTAGCCGCCACCCACTCGTGCCGTATATCTGTGGACAAGATGCTTATGGGAATTTCGGCTGCGCCCCGAATTCTGAAGAGGAGCTGCAGTATGCGTACCTTATAAGTCTAAGTAGATTCGATACGGTCCACATATCGCTCGACGGTCGACTTACGACCTCACCCGCTAACCCACCGCGGACTCTAGGAAGGTTTGGGGATTCATGTTCAGGGAGATTCGTAGACTGAGTGCCCCAGGTAAGCGAGTTGGGTGCAGACGTGCCGCGAACGCGGACAAAGAGCGATGCCCATCAAGAAAAGTTTCAGGTTGATTAGGGTGTAGAGCTCTTGGGTCCGCAATCCAATATTCGGATGCTTGGACTTGGGGGTAGGGTAGTATCGAAGCTGTGATATATTCGTTTAGTCTGTAAGTAGAGGAGTGTAGACAGTTGGACCCCAGTGACCTTGAAGATCTTTCGGCCCGGATTGACATGCATGCATGCTACATCGCATATGACAACGGTAAATCCGTAATCCAGTAGTCCTGAAGCCCACCCTCCAAGTAGAAGTTACGGTACAGTGCCACCGCCGTCGTCTCGGCTTCACTTTGGAATGCAGAGACTGAAACAGCTTGTCAACTATGCGCTGGCTGTTAAGTCACGAATATAACAACGGGATTGTGATTGCAATTAAAGTCCCGGCAAGCTCCCTAGTTGAGGTTTTCACAAAGCAAGCAACTCTGATTGCAGCCATTTAGTAGTCAAAGCTGGCTAGTCCTGCCCGAGCACGTTGAGCAGGAGCGGCCAGAGTCACTTTCTCTTCAGGGTCTTGGGGTTCGGGTTCCTTCATTAGTGGCTGTGTTCCGGTTGCAGGTTGGGCTTAGTCTCAACCTTCCCTCTTACATGCCTCCATTTATCCCACAAGCCTCAAAGCCTGCAACAGGGAGATTGGGTTCAACAGATCGGAGTAACATGTCTGTTGCATGCCGGGGTTCGGACTTTGCTCGAAATATGTGCAAAATTGAATTATCACACAATCGCGAGCATGAGCTGGATTCGCTCATGGGGAGATGAAGGAAGGCACCCCGATTATACAGTTCTCGAGCAAGGAGAAGGACAAATAAGAAGCAGCTGCAATGACCAGCGAAGAATACTATAGGGGCCTCCGTAATTACCAATACTACTGGGGGTTCCTTATTAGCCTTATTATAACCATAGTATAATGGGCCCCAAAACCTTGTTCTAATTATTAAGACACCTACATTACCCAACACTCTGAAGCGCTTTGCCCAAGGCCCCCGATGCTCCATATAGGGGTTTCCAAAGATACGGGCTACCGTATTCTGGGGGTTCTTATAATATGTATCCTATGATTTAGGCTACTATATTAGAGTCAGTCCCCTATTTTCGGAAACCTCCATATCAAAACACCCGAACCTGCATCAGTTTTGGACACCATGCTTTGTGTGCCGTGTCAACATCAGGAAATCTCTTCTTCATGGCGTTTCGTCCTGAGCTCAACTTCCCGCGTGTGTGGTTTCTATCGGTGGTTGGCCGATTCTTCCACCTGAGTTGCTTGAGTTTGATACGAAGCTTGGAACTCGATTGGATGTGATAAGGCGTTTTATGTTTAACAGCTGTTCGGGCGGCATGTTCGGCTGAATCACGTTCCATGCTCAAGCATATGTGTTGCTTAGATTAGGCCCTAGTTGATTGCTGTTGTTTTTTTGTGGGGATGGCTTCTTCGTCATCTAAACATGACTGCACTCAGTGATGCAAGCTTGTGTGAGCTTCTGACATCCTGGCCGTTCAAGGCCCGAATCCCGAAGCGCTAAACTCCCTGGCGGCATGCCTTACAGCCCAAACTCGCCCCCTAAACCCTAAACCTATATAGCCCTAAACCGTAACCCTAAACCCTGCAAACCCTAAACCCTAAACCCCCTACAACCGAAACTTGTTCCCCAGTCTCCTTGGCCCCAGGCCCTCTACGCTGGACGGGAAATCTGGATCCGACTCGTCTCATAGTCCCTTCGCTGCGCTACGGTTTGATGGTTGCAGGGGCACCGTTGCAAAGTTGAAGGAATGTAAGCAGAACAGGTAGGGTGCCAACATGCCCTAAACCGCCTAAACCTACAATCTACCACTAGGGTGCCGCGTACACATGGCTTCCCCGCCAAGCGTGAAGACTTAAGGGAATTGGCTCGGCCAGCGTTTCATGTCAAGCTCCAATGATGGTTCAATGAAGTCTTCGTAATGCATGTGTGTTTACCTGGGAGTCCATTTCCATTTCTACTGGAGCACATTTCCAGAATGCCTACAGTGGAGATTTATAAGACGTTGCTGCCTGAGTTAGTATTATCGAGATCTTTCGGGGTGAGCCAATGGCGAAGACAGTTGATGCGGAGGTCCTTGCTGGGTACATCACCCTGGGCAACCTAGAAGGCCTGCGAAAGTTTGCACCACCTAGTTTTGACTGGCGCCAGCCTCTCACTGAAAATCAAATACCAGCATTGGTACATGTAATAAACCAAGGACTGACCAAGCCAGGAAGGTGCCAAAACCACTTAAAGATCGCGGAGTGGCTGCTGAAAGCTGGAGCAGATCCAACATACAAGATTCCACAGCACTCAAGTGCATATGCTCTTTGGAAGACGACTCAGAAGGATGAAACCAAGATCAGTGTTTCATATCAAGGGCATTCCGCTGTTTCCTACGCCTTCGCCTGGCTGGGACAACTGCAGCTGGGCAAAGGCGGTGCGGACTGGTCGACGGAGCGAAAATATGTAGAAGATCTTGTGGCGCTCTTTGCGGGAACGACAGCTGGCGGGAATCCCCATGGTGCAGATGTCATCGTGCCTCAGAGTACTGTGGACATTTGGGAGTCGATGCGCGACTTGACTTCCTCACACAATGTGATCTTCGAAGCTTCAGATGGGGAAGTGTCGGCACAAGACCAGATCCTCATGGTGGCGTCTCCAGTCCTGAAAGCGATGCTCGAGTCTGCAATGAAGGAGAGCACCAGCCGGCGCATTCAAGTCAAGGATTCCTCGTCCTCGGGCGTCTCGCTCTTCTTGGATGTCTTGTACACGAGCTCTACTCGCCAGGATCCTGACCACAAGACCATGCTTGAGGCAATGGACTTGGCGCACCGCTGGCAAGTCCAGGGCGTGGTGCAGTCGCTGTGCACAGCGCTGCAGAATATGATTGATGCCAAGAGCTTCGTGGCTATCGCTGAGGCTGCAGTGCTCAAGGCGCTGCCAACACTGGAGCGAGCATGTGCCTCCTTCGGCTCCACAAACGAGCAAGTGCAAGGAATGCTCAAGAAAGGTAGTCTCCCAGCAGCAGTGCGGAAGCTGCTCGGAGAGTCTGAGCATGCAAGCAGTGAGCAGCAACAGCCGAAGAAGCGGCTGCGGTTCCACTCGTCATGAGAGGAGGTCGTGCGTGGAGCATGTGGTCGTTGCAGATCGAACTACTCTTCAATCATTGCGACTGAATTGGTGGACGAAGCGAGCAGCGCAGGGCGAAATTTGGTCTGCACAGTCTGCCACTCGCGCCTTTTTGAAGCTTGAAAAAGCGAGGACAGAGACTGATCGCTGCAAAGACCCACTGAATTATTAATTGACTGGGTATGGGTATGTGACGGTATGTGTATATATATATATATATACACATACATACATACATACATACATACATACATATATATATATATATATTTATTTATTTATATACATCTATACAGGCTTGAACAATTACATATTTGCAACTGTTATCCCTTCGGGCGCCCAAAACCCTGTTCTGGCGATCAAGGCCCCTTTATGATTGTTGTGTTTGTATCGCCTCCACGCGCCAGAGACTCCAATCCCTTAATTATGGAATATACCTGAAATCATAGAAGGGACCCTACTATAATTTCAGGTATAGGGTTTATAAGGTTAATTAAGGGACGTGGAGTCTCTGGGAAGCATGATGCTGCTCAGCATGGGGTCCTGAGTGCGAGCATGGGGCCGAAGTGGGATGGACAAGAGCACCGCTACAGCACACCTAAGCCCTTATACCTCCTGAACCCTAGAAACCCTAAACCCTCCTCCCTCCTAAACCCTAGAACTCCTCCTAACCCCATAAGCCTAAACTTTTGCTCTGGCTTTCGAGGTTTCGACATCCAGGCCCTACGCCCTCATGTCGACAGCTGCTGCGGTGCCTTGGCAAGGAGGGTCCCGTGGGCTACCTGCATCTTCTAACTTTCAAAAAAAAACAGGCGTGTAGCTTGAAACTCTACGCAGTTGGTTTTGGGATCGACAGGGTGCGGGGGATAGAAGCTCCAGCTGTAGAGGGCGACCTGGAGTGTTATCCCATTCAAAGCTCTAACAGGGTGCAGGGTGTGGGTTTAGGTTTAGGGTTTAGGGTGTAGGGAACTCACTCCAAACTGGAAACATGCAGCAGCAACACCCGTAAGGCCTCGGCAAACGCCAAACTCCCCGTACCTCCGAAGCTTGAATCAAAGAAGATGTTGAGCCAAAAGCCCGGTTCAATCGCCCACAGCCTCGCCTGTGCTTGCCAGTGTTGCGAGCCTGAAGCCTGACCCGAAACCCCTAAGCCCCTAAACCCCTAAACCCTAAACCCTGTAACTGGAAACCCTAGAACACCCTGGTGACCTCCAGACTATACTGTAGGGTTTACTTAGGGCGTATAGGGTTTACCTAGACCCAAAAGAACCTACCTTTTTAAGTTTTAAGGACTTAAGTAAGGAGATCATAATAATTTAAGGAGCCCTAAAAAGGTAGGTTCTTTGGGGTCCAGGTAGGGCGTTACCACGCAAAAAACCTTGAAGCCCGGAAGCCTCGATGGTCCAGACCAAAGCTACTGCCACGATTCCTAAGTTCAACGAGGGCCGAACAACTCCGCCAGTGGGGTTTATAGGTTTTGGGCCTCATAAGGGTTTAGGGTTTAGGGTTTTAGGAAATGAGAGTTTGGAAGGTTAGATCAGGGATTGAGGTTTATGGGTCATGTGGCAAACCCCTGAAATAGAGGGGTGCGGGGGGTTGTTGTTCTCCAATTTGGA